TGTACAGATTCCTGAGCCTACTGGGCTCTATCATATCTACACTTGAAACTGTGTATGGAGTCAGCCTCCACCACATCACTTCCTAATGTTAACTATTTATTAACTACTCTGACACTGAAAACATTCTTTCTAATGTCACTGTGGTTCATTTGGGTACTAAGTTTCCACCTGTGTCCCTTTGATCGTGTTCCATCCGTGCTGAACAGTTTGTCTTTGTCACACCTGCCAATTTCAGGGACGTGAGGTTTAGCTCCCGTAGCCTTTCCTCGTAGCTCATTCCTCTCAGTTCTGGAACTAGTCTGGTGGCATTCCTTTGAATCTTCACTAACTTTGTCTTGTGTTTAACTGGGTATGACTCCAGGTTGGAGCTGCATACTCCATGATTGGTCTGACATAAGTGGTATATAATTTCCTAAACGATTCCTTACACAAGTTTCTAAATGCAGTTCTTATGTTGGCTAATCTAGCATATGACGCTGATGATATCCTTTTGATGTGGGCCTCTGGGGACAGGTTCGGTGATATCAACCCCCAGATCTTTCTCTCTATTTGACTCTTGCAGGATTTCACCTCCCAGATGGTACCTTATGTTCAGCCTGCTGCTCCCTTCGCCTAATTTCATTACTTTACACTTTCCTGAGTTGAACTTTAGTAGCCATTTTCTACACCATTCCTCCAGTTTGTCCAGGTCGTCCTGTAGTCTCTGTCAATCTTCATCCGTCTTGATTCTTCTCATAATTTTTGCATCATCAGCAAACATTGAGAGGAACGAGTTTATACCCTCCGGAAGATCGTTTACATATATTAGAAACAGGATGGGTCCAAGTACTGAGCCCTGTGGGACTCCGCTAGTGACATCTCGCCACTCTGATGTCTCCTCCCTCACCGTTACTCGCTGTTTCCTGTTGCTTAAGTACTCCCTTATCCTGGCTGCTTTCTAGGGGGATGTAACAAAAAGAAGGCCCTTGGTCGAGGACCGGGCCGTGGGGACGCTAAGCCCCAAAATCATCTCATGATAATCTCAAGAAGGTAACCTCCACTGGAGCACCTTACCTTTTACTCCTACCTGTTGCTCCAACTTTTGTAACAGCCTTTTACGGAGCACTGTGTCAAAGGCTTTCTGACAGTCTAAGAAAATGCAGTCTGCCCACCCTTCTCTTTCTTGCCTAATTTTTGTTGCCTAGTCATAGAATTCTATTAAACCTGTCAGGCACGATTTACCATCTCTGAACCCATGTTGGTGGTGCGTTACAAAGCTATTTCCCTCTAGATGCTCTACGAGCCTTTTCCTCACGATCTTCTCCATCACCTTGCATGGTATACAAGTTAGGGAAACTGGCCTGTAGTTCAGTGCCTCTTGCCTGTCACCCTTTTTGTATAATTTTCCGGTAGGTCTCCTGTTTCCAGTGACTTGTTATTCACCATAGAGTGGCACACTTAGTGCTTCTGCACCTTCTTTTAGTATCCATGGTGAGATTCTGTCAGGCCCAACAGCCTTTGTCACATCCAGCTCCAGCAGACACCTTTTGACCTCATCACTGGTGAGGTCAACTTCCTCTAAAGTTGCTTGGTTTGCCGCCTCCTCTCTTAGTATAGGGGCTTCTCCTCGCTCTATAGTGAGGGAGTGTCCACACTCCACACACTCTTGTGGTGGAGTGTCAAGGGTGAGTGTGGAGTGTCAAGGGTGAGTGTGGAGTGTCAAGGGTGAGTGTGGAGTGTCAAGGGTGGGTGTGGAGTGTCAAGGGTGGGTGTGGAGTGTCAAGGGTGAGTGTGGAGTGTCAAGGGAGAGTGTGGAGTGTCAAGGGTGGGTGTGGAGTGTCAAGGGTGGGTGTGGAGTGTCAAGGGTGAGTGTGGAGTGTCAAGGGTGAGTGTGGAGTGTCAAGGGTGAGTGTGGAGTGTCAAGGGTGGGTGTGGAGTGTCAAGGGTGGGTGTGGAGTGTCAAGGGTGGGTGTGGAGTGTCAAGGGTGGGTGTGGAGTGTCAAGGGTGAGTGTGGAGTGTCAAGGGTGAGTGTGGAGTGTCAAGGGTGGGTGTGGAGTGTCAAGGGTGGGTGTGGAGTGTCAAGGGTGAGTGTGGAGTGTCAAGGGAGAGTGTGGAGTGTCAAGGGTGGGTGTGGAGTGTCAAGGGTGGGTGTGGAGTGTCAAGGGTGAGTGTGGAGTGTCAAGGGTGGGTGTGGAGTGTCAAGGGTGGGTGTGGAGTGTCAAGGGTGGGTGTGGAGTGTCAAGGGTGAGTGTGGAGTGTCAAGGGTGAGTGTGGAGTGTCAAGGGTGAGTGTGGAGTGTCAAGGGTGAGTGTGGAGTGTCAAGGGTGGGTGTGGAGTGTCAAGGGTGAGTGTAGGGTGTCAAGGGTGGGTGTGGGGTGTCAAGGGTGGGTGTGGGGTGTCAAGGGTGGGTGTGGAGTGTCAAGGGTGGGTGTGGGGTGTCAAGGGTGGGTGTGGGGTGTCAAGGGTGAGTGTGGAGTGTCAAGGGTGAGTGTGGAGTGTCAAGGGTGAGTGTGGAGTGTC